TCATTCAAACGAGTAAAATATAAATATAAATATAAATATATATATATATGTAATATGAATACGCATATGTAAAGGATTCGCCTAAAGGTTCAAAAAAAAATATTATCAGAAGAATAAATAAATCTAATATCTAATGTGGCAGCAATTTGAAAAAAAGAAAGTTTATTGTTTAGTGGTTGAAGAAACTAGAACATGTTTGCCATGATTTTGTTTATGTTGTCGTTGACGTGGTGAAGAATTTGATGTTGGCGTTCCAGGACTATTATCAGTTGGTGGTGTTTGTTGAACATTATTTGATTTTGCTTGTTCAATCTAAATGAAAAGGAAAAATTAATTTGTGTTTACTACAAATTTATAATAATAGATAGAATTTGAATATGACTATAATTAATTGAATTTCAGATAGATAATCAATATATGAATATATTGATTTGTATTGAAATAAGATCACGTCTTGGAACTTGTTTACTTCCTCTAATTTATTTATGAAAGATTTTTGTCTATACTATTCAATCTAAAATCTTTTGTATATGAGAATAACAACTGCGCAGATCTTCGTAGACACGATATTTGATCGACTAGTAGAGTTGTTTGAAACATTGTTTTGATTTTCTTAACATGTTAATCAAAAGTTTTAAGCTCTACTATTCATTTCAATATAGATAATGATTATGTGATGTCTTTGTTCATTATGTCATTGCTTTCAAGTTTGTCTTGACGTGTGATAAATAAATGCGGAAACTTCGGATTTTATCCGAGAGTTATGTGTACTGCAAAAAGTGTATATGGAAATCATAGAGAAATATCAGTATTTTTGCGATAACTAGGGAACGGCCAGGCCAATTAAGCTCATCTTCAAACTCGACCAAGATCTTGATGAGATTAAACTGTGCACAAAATTTCGTGAGAATCGGCTTAGCTTTTCGAAAGTTATCGTGTATACGGTCGACCGGACACGCTGACCGATTCTAGAAGTGTTCGAGTACACAAAAATGAATCAAAATATAATCACTTCAAATGATAGAAAGTATGTCGTTGACTTTAGTCTAGACTTGAGTATGATTATTTTTTTATTTGACTGAAACGAAAAGGACTTATACTTTACTAAATTATTTTACAGGAAAATATTACTGTATATTTGATTTTAAGTAATGTCGGTATACAACATTTACTTAAACTACTAGTCCAGTTGTACTTAATTTATATCTTCTGAATGCCTTTCTTTTAAATTTTCTATTTATATTCATGATTCTTTATAAAAAGCTTTTATTCATATCGTGTTACTATTAGTTTATATGAATAAAAAGACGCAGTCAGTAGTAAAATAGCGGTTTTTCGGTTCAGTTAACTTTACAAGAAACTGTTGCGTGAGATTTCAATTCTACCGAATGATTGATTCTAAATCAATGTAAAACTTACAAGTGCAAGTTTTGTTAATTCCTGTTGAAGTTGAGTTTGTAATAATCGAACATCATCAAGTGGTAATTTCATTAAATCATGATCACTAGGTAATAAACGTGCATTATTTTGTACTAGTAAATGACGCATATGTTCTATTTGATGAAGTGCATCATCACGTTGTTGTATAGCACGATTTTTTTCATGTTCAAGTTGAACAGCTAATCGATGATTATCTTCTGCTTCACGACGCCAATGTTCCGATGACTATTTTTTATAAAAATAAAAAAATAAGACATGATTTATATTGAGAAAAACTTATAATAAACCTCTTTTTCTGTCATAGCTAAAACTTGCATTTGTAATACACGATTTCGCATTATATCTATTTCAGAAGATGATGATGATGGTGAATTCGTACTTGTTGTATTAAAACGTTGAAGTATTGTTTGAGGAGATGTTGAATTCAATTGATACGATGATGTAGGTAAATCTTGACTAAAACCAGCCATTTTGTATCGTTCACCAGGTCGACTACTAGTACCACTTGATGTTGATGGTTCAGGAAATGGCGTATCAATTGGCTAGAAAACAAAAAGAATTAATTTTATGTTGATATAAAATGAAGTATATACGAGTTCATGGTCTTTTATATTTTAAGAATTTATGATGTAAAGCTTTTCATCTAATATAACGACCTTCAATCGTTTTCACTAGAAATATCCTATTAATAATTCATGGTAATATGAAGATTTCTATTATGTATTTCTTTCGTAGAAAAAATCATTATTTAATTTCTAACATAATCAGATAATTATTTAGTTATTTTTTTTCCCAAATAAAATATGTCATCTAAGAATATTCTTTGTCTTCCTATTTTTTCTGATATAAATTCTCTAATTAGATATACCGATTCTAAAGTTCCATCAAATAATTGATTGGGTCCATCAAATGGTGATTTTACCGATGATGAATGTGAAAAATAATCATTGGAAAATGAATTTGGAATATTCACTGGTCTTGTTATTTGATTCGTTGATGGTTTTAATACATGTGTTGGTGATGTATTACTTGTTGCTGGTGTTGTTGAACGTTCAAAATTATCTGTATCATCATCAACAAATAAATTATTTTTCGTATTATTATTTCGTTCATTTGTTGTTGTTGCTGCTGCTTTATCAAAATCATTTTCATCAACATTATCTAAGCCAATAGCTGTTAATGATGATTCTATTAAATTTTTAACATCTGGTGGTAAAAGATGTTGATCATGAAAATCTTTTTTTTCATCAAAATAATTTGTTGTTGAATAAAAATGTTCATTTATTGATGAAAGTAAATTTGATGCAGCTAATGATGATAAATATGATGATGGAGGAGGATAAGAATGACTAGCAGCTAATGCAGCAGCCGATAGAAGAAATTGTTCATTTAGAAATGATGATGATGCTAATGATGGCGGTGGCTGTGGTGGTGTTGGTACTTGATGTGTTTGGGGTGAAGATGGATACTGATATAAACGTTGTTGTGATGAAGATTTTTGTGAAAGCATATCTTGAATTGAAAATGTTCCACTTGCAGAATTATTTGTTAATAATGACTGAAAATAAATATATATATTTTGCTAAAAAAAATAATTAAATGGTTTTTTTTACATGTCTATTATCAAATGTTTTCATAGCAGCACCTGGAAATGAGCCAACTTCAAATAGAGATGATTTTTTTGGAATGTTTCTTGTTGTTAGTAATGTCTTTAAACGAAATACATATATATAAGATAAATGTTCTATATTTCTTATCTTACATCAATAATACCAACTTCTTTATCTTCTGGTATAGGAATAAATGATGATAAAGGTAGTTCACTTGTATAATGAAGATCAAAATCTCGATAAGATTTTAATTCCTCTATAAAATTAAAAAAAGAATCGATATTTATTTGTACTTAAAAATAAAACATACGTTCAATATGAGCAAAAGCACAGAATGGTCCACGTGGACAATAAATTGTTACTGATACATCGTTACATTTTGTTGATTTATAAATCTTATAAAAAAGAGACAAATAATAAGAATATAGATTTAATCATATTACCTCAGGATGAAATTGTTGTTCAGTACGCGTATGGCAATATTTACAATTATCACCAGCTTCACATACAGTTGGATCAATCCATTCGTCACTCTGTTTTACATGTGGACATGGTGTTGACCTATAAATATGAAGAGTTTCAAATGATATAGAAAAAGATTTGGTTTTTTTAACGTACTTATATTTAACAATTGATGGATTACGACGACGATCACGGGGATTGTGGTATTGTGGACAAGCATAACCTTGTCGACAGAGACGTGGAGGACGTTTACATAGTTCAGTTTTATAATTTGCGAGTACATAATGTGAGTCTAAATCATATAGAAAAATTTATTAACTACAGATATAGAACTGCAAACTATTTCTTTTAGCTTATGGAGAATAAAAAAATTTCTCTTGGGATTAGATGTTCTTCTAACTGCATCTTTGATTGATTGTTATAATACTTAATAGACATCTGAGCAATCATTAATTGCGATTCATTTCACGAAACAATGCTCAAAACAAGATGTATGCTGTCTTTTTCTATAAGAATAAATTCCCACTACTTTTTAAAACTATTTCAATAGTTTCTATTCGAAACTAATCTTCATTCTAAGTATTCATACTTAAATGTTGTTCATAAATGAATACTTTAGCTAGGGTGATAAACGTTATTCACTCATGTCTATAATCATCTTGATTGCTTCTGCTTGAATAGAATTTCATAATAGGGCACGAAACTAATATAAAAATATGTATTTCTCTATTAAGTCTAGTAGTCTATTTCTTATTAATTTTCATTTACTTACCACTCCATTTTGGATCATCATTTAAAGCTCGTTCATTTTCCAAACTAATACATAATCGTGCAAGTCTTTCTAAAGCTAAATCCGTATTTTTTATTTCTCTACTATCAAGTATTGGTTGTCGTAAATCATTTGCGCCATGAGCATATGAACAATGTGGACCATTTTTAAGACAATGTCCTTTAGCATCCGATTCATGTGTACATAAACCTGTTTTATAATAACGTAAATGATAACGTTTTTCTGTATCATTTGCATTTCGATGTAAAAGTGGGCAACTAAAAATAAATAGTGGGAAAAAATATTTTGAAGATTATTCGTGTTTTTTTTTGA